AATTGTTATGTATTGGTCTTTGCATCACAGTACATCTTGAGAGCTTCTGAAATTCATTACTATTTTATACCCTTAATTTTAATGGAAACTGGATCTTAGTTACCCTAAATGGATGGGAATGCATTGCAATGAAGATACCTGCAGAGCTGGAACTGGCCTCTGCTCACTGAGGTGCTGTCTGTCAGGGCAAAGCTCAAGGTCACATCACACGTGCTTCCATCGCCGCACTCTGCAAAGTGCCATAGTTAGGACATGGTAGGCCATTCCCTGCAAGCATTTTGCCTGGTACATGAAAAACTGATGTCACCTTATCACCAGGGATTGTCAGAGCTCTGTTAGGTGCTGTGCTGGATCCCCTGGAGCCAGCACTTAACAGGGTAGAGCATTTTCTGCTAAGTGTTTGGGGCTGGGACATCTGGGCAGTAGCATGGATGTTGCCTAACATGTATCCCTTCTGGATTTTAAGGATTGTTTCTTTGGCTCTTCAAGGTCATGCTGCTCACAGTTACTTTATATCCAACAATATTCTTCCCTCCTTTAGCATATAGAAACTGAAGACCTACGAGGTTTTCCCTGTTTTAGCATGTCTCTTTTCAAAACAGTGTTGGAATTAGGGAGCCAGTAACAAGTTTGGGTTTCTGTTTTTTAACCTCATTACAAAGAGTCCTTTTAAGCATTGATAAGACCCTGATGAATTCAGCTTTCACGATTAAATTCTCCAGGCTGGCTTTTTAGGCAAAAGGATTTTATTTTAAGCATTTAAAGTGTGAAAATGTTTCTGTTTATAGAAATAAGTCACCTTTGACCAGAAATGGAAAATTTCAGTATGGAAGATAATAGTACAACACGAAATGTCTGTGTAGCTGTCACTGCAATGACTTTTGCAGCAGAAGTTGTGACTTTCAGCATTTTTCCATCAGTTCTTGAGAAAACTTTGTGATTGAATGAAGCCAGAGGAAAACTTCTGAGTTACTAAAAAATCAGTGTCTTTTCCATGGAAAATTCTTGTATCACAAGTGTGTTTTTCAACCAAAAAGAGAGTTAAAAGTAAAAATATTGAATTTTGTCTGCTGAAATTTTGTCAAACAACCATAATTTGGAGTTGGTTTACAGGATTGGTGGCACAGCAGAGATGTTGATCTGAGGACTCTGTTCCAGGACAGGTCCATTTCTGTTTCAGTTCAAACAATCTATCTAGAGGGTACATAGCAGTGCCAGAAGCACCAGCTAAGAGCCAGGATTCCTGTCTCCCAGGTGAATGTCTCCCCAGTGGACTATGGAGTTGAATTCCTCTTCTTTTGCCCGGTGGCCCTTTGACATTTGCATTTTTTCCTCTGCCACTGTCAGTCTCCAACAGACATAACATTCCTTGGATGTGGCTTGGTGCTGAAGTCCGTCTCCTGGGAGGCAAGAGTTCCAAAGGCCACAAAGACCAGAAAAGTTGTGGCTAAAAATTCCTGTACCCAAGACAGTGAATGCCCTCACCTGAGGAACAAGACTGAGAGTGGATCTTGGCTGGGTTGTTCTTTCCACAGAAAGGACCCTAGGAAAGGATGAACCTGGGATGAAAAGTCAAGGCTGAGTCCTGGTAACTCATTCTTGCTAGTGGAATAAGGAGACAGGACGGATGTCAGAGGAGCACCATTTAATGCAATTAAAATATTTCAGCTGCCATGTGAATTATGTGAGACTTTTCAGAGTTCTCAGAAGCTCAGTAGGACGATGTTGAGTGTTGCATTGCAGTTTATAACAATCCCAAGATTAATTCCTGAATCAACCTTGTAGCTACTTTAAACCATCAGACCATATGGGCTGCTGAATAAATCCATTTTGCTCATTGGCATATGATTCTGTTCTCACCCTTTATTTTACTCTTCCTTGTTCTACAGCTCAAAGCACATTTACAAATATGCTTCTGTGCCATCCCAAAATGCACATGTGACTGTAGATTATCCATCTATCTTTGAAAACCTAACCTTTCTTCTGGTCCAACAGCAAATCTGGAAGGGGCTTTGGATGCTATTTCTTTTCCTTTTAAAGCTAGAACATGCCAGTTCAGTGGCCATGTACTTCTCTTTCATTAAATTCTCTTCTTTCTGCCAGTTTTTTTGTTGTAACAGGGTTTTCTAATAATCATGCTGTGTTTGCCTTGGTTTGCACTCTTTAGTGGTTGTAGTATCAGTGGCCGCAAGTATGGCCATAATCCCTTAAAGGGGCTGAGATCCCTGACATGACTGTGAGAGAAGGGCAGTGTGAAACTTGCTCCCACATCACTGAATGCGTAGCCTGGAGGAGATTTTTGGTGTGACTCTGCTTTTGTTGCTGTTCTAGATAATAATCCTTAAGGCACAGTGAATTTAGCCTGCTTTGTTACCCTGTATTGCTAATGTTGGCAGATTTTCAAGGAGCTTCTGTCTTTGTGCCTGGATGTTTACAGTCAATCTCTCCTCTCTCCCTGTCTGATGGATATAGCACTCAAGCATTGCCAGGAGTGGGGATATGGGTTGTGAAGGCACCTCATGTTGAGGCTGGTGTCCCAAGGAGCTGGCTCATGAAAATGCCTGCCCTGGGCATGGCAGGTCTGCAAGATCTGTGATAAAGTCTTCATCACCAGTGGTAACTGGACAAATACTAGCAGACCTTTCCCAACCAGTGCTCAATCCAGGATTCAGCACCAGTTCCAGCTGTTGACAATTATACTCTCCTTGTAGCTTCACTTAGATGTGGTGTTTGTCACAACAAATCTAACCTGTTAAACAGACACTGCTTTTTGACCCAGAGGGGATACCTTCAGTGGCAGATAAAAGGATTTCAGTGTACAGTAGATAATGTCCTTCAATTTGTTAAATTTCCCAACTGCTTTGGGAGCCTGTGGGATGGAAGGTGTCATAGACATGTAAAGTGCTATTATTCATCCTAAACTGCTCTGCTCCATTTTCTTTTTTTTTCTTTTTCTTCTTTTTTAAAGTATACTTTCTCCTCCATTTTGTTCAGTGATCTGTTGGTTTCTTTAATTCTTCACATGGAGCTACTGCCATTAGTTCCTCAGCCTAGGATCTTGACCTTACCTACTTCTTTAGTTACTTGAGTGATCTGTTTCCAGTGACTAAAGTACTGATTCTCAGCGCTTTTTATTCAAACACATAATGAGTTTAAGCATGCAAATGCAGTTCATAATGCTCAGTGAGTCCAAATACTTTGTCTGGTTTTATTCACTTGAATGATTAACTGTATTTTCCTATGTCCCGGGATTAATTACAAACAGCTGAAATAGAAAGGCCTGATGAAGAACTAATCCTGGTGTAAGTGCAGGGAAGAGAGATGTGTGAGACAGGAGCCCAATAAGCTGCTAGCTGGAGGCTTAATTGCACCTAAACTCTGTCATTCATGAAGCCAACTCAAATCATCAATCAAAACCCTGTCAGTCTAAACATATCTGAAACTTGCAGAAGTTTGCTTTAGTTGGCATTTAACTTTCCCTTCATATTCAATTCTTAGCTTTAATTCGAATACCTCACACAAAATGGGGTTCATTTTGAGTCCAGCTCTGCAAGGTATTGTGTGTGGTGGCCTGACCTCAGAGAAGTTTCAGCTCCAGCTTGCAGATGTAGGAGTGAACAGCAACACGAGCAAAGCAAGCAGTTCCTCAGAAAGTATATCTGAAGAGTTCATCAGGTCTCTCGTTTCAGAGAGCAGCATTTCACATTTCTGTAATTAGAGGAAAAAAGGGAACCCATCTGTGGATATTACAGGGCTGATCATTCCTCATGTGACCTCTGTTGCCTTAACAAAAATTTAAAATGTATTAGTGATAAAATACGTTATCAGCCAAGAAATTATGAATCTACAGGTTCTGAGACTGCAAAGACAGTATATAATACTTCTGAAACTGTGTATAAATTGTCCTCTGAAATCCAGTTTTTATGGAAAAAGTTGCAAGGTTAGCAAATACTTGATGTCTTGTGATACATATAGGACATCAATCATATTTTTAAGGGCGATAAAGGTAATCTAATGCATCATATCATTTAGGTAATAGATGCAATGAACGAAGAAGGAAAAAGCTATGTAACTGTTATGATGTCTGAAATATGTATCATTTGGTGGGTTAGAGCTTGGAGCATATAAAGCAAAGGAAAGAAAAATGCAGCTTGCTTCCAAACATATCTGCAACTCCCAGATCACAGAGATCAAGTCAAAAGGCTGACCTGAAAAATAAAGCATGATAAACCAAGGTACAATTGACTGTGAGAGACAGCAGCTAATACCGATACTGTGTTTTACTTATCATCTTCACAGGAGGGAAGTTGACTTGACTTGTGAAGTCAGATAACTGAAAGGAAATAAGGTGGTTCAATAAGGAATGAAAGCCAAGGATGAAGTAATAATGATCAACAGACAGTACCAATGTCTGAACATTTGTTTGACGATGATATCATAATTTTGGCTTTTATAGTACAATGCATAACAGCATATTGTATTTTCACTGAAGCACTTTTATTTTTCCTGTTCTGGCAGATTATTCATTTTATGATAACATGTCCATCGCGTCTTTAGTATATTAAATGCCAAAGCAAGCTCTTTTTTGAGATCTAGGCCTGCAGTTTAGGATGTTCTGCTGTATTCTTCAGCATTTTACAGATTATCTGTGGGGTATATGTTTGCCATATTTGTAAGTTTTATGTCTGTAGTTTATTTCCTATCATCTTTAAAAACATCAGTTAAAAGAGCTAATCTGGGGGCAGAAATATTGTTGAGCTGTGACCACTGTCATGTCCCAGATACAGGAGGAGTATCATGTTTGATTTGCTATTTCTACTCCACACTCTACTACTTTGAGCCCTTTTTCTCCAGACAAAGCTCAGTCTCACAAATCCTCTCCATTCATGTCTTTTAAAAGAGGAGCGCTGAAATCAGTCATGTTGAAAATATTGCCAATGCATTGGAAAGAAAAAATAGGGATAAAAATGCATCTGTTTTTGTGACGTCTTTCTGGCCAGACTGCAAGAGAAAGAGGCTGTTGGAGAGCATGCCTGCCATCAGATCCTTGCTCTTTTCATCACGTTTCAGTGCCTCTGGAGAGCTCAGCTTTACAAACATGACACCAACAAGATGCTGTAAGTAAGAAATTCCTGTGCCCCAATTGGTGCCCTTCACTTTACTTTTTGTGGTTATTCAAGTGTCTTCAGGACAGCAGATGCTTGAATGTTGAGGCACATGCTGCAGATGAAATTTTGGAAACTCCAGGGTGAGTTTCTGTTTTTATACCCAGTCCCTGCTCCTTGACAGTCCCGCAAGAAACTCAGCTGTGGGCTCAGACGTGTGGCTGCTCCCATTGGCAGCAGGGCAGAGCCACCCTAACCTAGCCTTGGGGGTTCGTGGGCCTTAGGGATGGAGCACAGGGCACGCAAAGTGAAAGCCAGAGCTGGGTTTGACCAGCCAGGAGAGGCGGGGGGGTGAACGGGGTGGCGGGGGGGGGGGGGGGGGGGGGGCTTGGCTGTTGTTTTCAGCCACCTAGAGGGGGGTTATGGGGAAGGCAGAGCCAGGCTCCTGGCAGCAAAAGCATAAGAGGACAGTGGTGTGACTCGCTGTGAGGGACATGCAAGATTCACCCTCCCTCCCTGGCTGCCCACCCAAGACTGCAGGGAGCAGGTACGGAGCAGACAGAGTGCCAGGGCACTGACTGCCTGAGGATGCCCAGCCTCGGTGGTGGTACCCTTGGGGGCTTGAGGTGCTGCTGGGTTGTGCGGGGCAGAGGTAGCCAGCTGGGATGCCCTGGAAACAAACTCCTCTGGGTATTCATCCTTAAAAAAAAATATAAAATATATGCAATAATAACAAAACAAAAAGGGTGTTGTGGGATTTTTTTTTTTTTTTAAGTAATCTTTTTGCACTTGAAACATTTGTGGTGGGACCAGTCAGGCTGAATAATGGGATCAGTGATTTGCTGTGGGTTAGTGCTGCGGTTCAATATGCTCCCAGAGCTGTCAGGCTGGGAGCAGAGGAGGGCTTGCTTGCGAGTGGCTTTTTAAACCCTGGGATTTCAGATGCTCCTCGTCATGAGTTGCAGCTCGGCAGTCCTGCACAGAGCAGATGTACGGAGGGAAGGGAGATGCTTACGGCTGAACCCAAAAAGTACGTGCCAGGAGGAAGGATTCAGAGAGTGGGAGCTGGGCAGGGAGAAGGGAAGGGTACATTTCTCTTCTGCTTTGTTTTCTAAACAGTGGTTTAAATTAATTTCTTCTCCTTTAAAAGGAAAAAAAAATCTTATTGGAGCTGTTTTGATGTAATGAATTTTGATTTATTTATTTGTGTAGCTGACCCAGCTCTCCCCAAAGGAAAATGTTTTATTTGTGCTGTTTTGTTTTTATTTTCCGGATAGATTTGGAGTTTTTAGCTGATGGGAAAAACTGGCTATGCAGGGGAGGGTGTAGCAGGTAATTGCTTATGGTGGTACTTGTTGTATCATCAAGATCTAGCTGATTAAACCTTAGTGTGACATGGTCATTAACAGCAGAAAAATTCAAATGGAAAGTAAATACAAATGAAATCCTAAAGCAGATTTCAGAGTTGTTATCCTTTTGTGGAGCTTATTAATGTAATAGAAAGAGACCTAAATAAAGTGCAGTTGTAAGGTTTGGCAGTTGTTTGTATATTTACCTAGGATTATTTGAAAGCATTCATAAAGAAAAGAGGATTTTCTTGTGCATTACAAATTAGTTAAGATGATTTGGGGTAGAAGACTGAGATAGATCAGCAAGCTAAATATGAAGAATTTGTGTACCCCTGTCCTCACCCCCCCTCTCCACCATGTATGCTCTGACCTTATAGCACTACAATACTTTGTATAGATTTTAGGATAGAAGATTTCCTCCTAAATCTCTGATAACTTGCCTAGAATTAATTTTTTTAGCCAGCCAAAGCCTGGCATTCAAAGAAGTCTACCAAGAGTACTTGTTTCTTTTTTTAATCTTAAGAGTGGGGGAGAAAGGATTATGGGAATGGTATGGGAGAAACTTAAGGTTGGGAGGGAAGCTGTGGATATCATCTCATTGCAACAGGTCATTGTCCTGGAATAAATCAAAATGAAAAAGAGTCAGGCAAGCTTTTTGTAGAGATGGCTTAAGTGGCAAGTGAACAGGACTTTAAGCACATATCCCACAACTCCAAATTACTTAAATGTACTGAGTGTGTTCTGGAAGTGCTAAAGATCTTCACTTTTAATTGATTTTTTTCTGTTTTTACATCTTTCCCAGGGTGGCTCTGAGGGTTATATTTTTGCTGTTAAACATTCTCTAAACTTTCCTAGGAAGCCCAAGTTGTATTCTCTATCATTATTTACTTCCCAAATTTTGAACTAGTTCACATTCTCTGTTGCTTTCTCTTGCCATAAACTTAGCTTTAAAAAACATGCATATGTCTAAATATACCTCAGTAAGCTATCAATAGGTTTAAAGTTGAAATCTTTCTGACATTGTCTGGCTGCTTTCAGAGGTTGCAAATTATGCCCCCCAGGATGTCCTGTACTTTCAGTGTGCTGGGGTGCCAGCCTGCAGAGAGAGTGTGACTGCTGAAGATGCCCTGCTTAATCCAGGAGTCCTTAGCCAAGCACAGTTTGAAGCAGAATTCATTGCACATGCTAGACTGCGCCCAGAATAGAAGCGTGTCTCTCCATATTGTTGCAGGTGATTGAATGAGGCTGATAAGATTCCTGAACCGCCACAGCATGACAAAGCAATGTTACTGAGATGAATCAGCTTTTGGTATCAATGTACCCAAGAGTTTCTCAGTAATGTAAGCATAACAAGAAACACAGAATTGTAAGACACTGCAGCTCAATACAAGCAAGCTCTCCAAGTCCTCAAAAGTGGGAAATCTTAGTATACTGGTGCAATTGAATTGAAGGAGTTATTCATAATGCAGCTGAGAGGCAACCATCAGGCTGACTTGCACAAACAGATTGCACTCTATTAGAGCACTTAGAAGTATGGCCACTAGACACTGTAAGAATTCTGTGATGAGGACAGATGTCACCCTGGGAAACACAACTAAAAAGATCTTCAAATGCCATATGTAGCTTCTTCATATAGCCTCTGCTGTCAAAAAAAGCTGAAGAAATAAGCCGATGGACTTCTCTGATGTTTGCCATGCAAATGCACAAGAGCAGTGTGAGGGGCTGGCATATTTAACAGGCAGCAGAGGATGCAGACCAGACTTGAATGCCAGGTGGGATATGTGCCTGATGCCTCTGGAAATTTACAAACTGCCATCAGGATAGCTGTGCTACCAATGAAATGACTGGCTAAATGAAACCAAGTCCACACTGACTGGATAGTAAACATTTGAACACCTACAGATAGTCCAGTGCTAATAGAACAACAGGAAAAAGCATGCTTTATTTGTGCCCTGTTAAGTTAGTACTGCCTGCAAAAGGACTTAATCTCAAGAGAGAAGGATTTTTTTTATTTTTTTAAATTATAACAACAAAACTAACAGTGACAAACTGCTGTTAAAGTTCAATGCAAGTCTGCAATTAACAGAAACCGTTTGTTTTCAATGCACTCTTTAGTTATGGAGAAATCTTAAATGAGTATCTCTCTTACCCCCCAAGCTGTTGTAAGCAGATTTTCTCTTCATCCATTTTTCCACGGAGAAATGCTCTTTAATGTGAGTTGTGTGGACTACAAAAGGCCCCATGTGGGCTTAAATCTAGTATGAACATGACTTGAAACACACACAGTGCTTTGTTAGACTTTTGTTTGTTTTCTGAGATTCTCCAGTGCACATTACTTTGCTGGCTTGCTTATCTGCTATTTAAAAATAAAGGTTCAGAAGGAGCTAGTTCTTGTCTGAGATGAGAGCTAGGGCTCTGCAGGAAAAAATACTTGTGCGGATTGCTGAGGCTTTCTGACTTGGCACAGTAAAAACAGGTTTGAACCTAACTGGGTTGTGGGCTTCTCTTTTTGTGAAATGGCACTTTCTTCTTAACTCAGAAAAGTAAGCTGCCTTGTGCTGAGATGTTCTCTTTTGGTAGTTCATCATGGTTTGAAGCTGATGATACAGAAGCAACGTAGGAGTTGCTTCAAATGCATCCCATATCTGGAGATTATTGTGAGGATGAGAGGAAGATAATGTTTCCTAATGCAGAGGTGCTGAAAATTCTGTTACTTTTCATAGTCTTGAAAAATAGTCCACAGAATTAAAACAAGACACCACATAAAAACAGCTACGTCAGTCCTATTTTCAGTGTGCCACACATGGCAGTGGAGAGGGAAAGGATGAAGCTTCTTCACTGCTATATCGTAGTTGCCTTGATGCTTCCCCAGATCAAAGTAAAGGCACTTGCTTTTGTGTGAGATACTGCTTCTTTCTCCAAGATGAGCACTGCCATAAGATAATTAAGTTTTCTGATACTGAAATTACTTTTAATATACACACCTATTCCCACCAAATGTACCAAGGCATGCTTTGTTATTTTAGCCTTTTATGAATCTGAGTCTTTTGGTTGCTGAAATTTCTTTCCAATTATGCCTGTATTACAGCTCCTTATTAGTTTGCCAGTGCTGCTTCAACCTTCCTCTGAAATAAGTCTTCAGTATTGCAGTAGCTTGGTAATTGTAAATTGAGCTGCCAGTTTCACTTGTTCATTGCACGTCGGTCTGTTTGTTCCTTTAGTAATGCTAAATCCACAAGCACTTCACCCTCCAGGTGACTAGAATGGCAATGATATCCTTCCTGGGTGAGAGCTTGTTTTATTCTTATTTTGGAGAGTTAAGGGAGGTTACTTTACTGCCAAATGCTTTCACTTGGCAATAAAGAGCTGCCTTTCAATGCAGAGATGGGATCTTAAATATCTCTGTTTCCTTCTCTTCCCAGTTATCTCCATCATCTTCATTACCTGTAGTGGCTAGGTGCTTTTTTCTAAACAGAGTATTTAGAGTACGTAATGGGAATCTGTCAGACTGAAATATGTAGGCTATTAGACTAAACAGTGTTTCAGTGATCCAGTTAAATTCTTTAAAATAAATCATAAAATATTTCAAAGCCAGGTTTTCATGACACTTAAGCACCTACAGTGCAATAAACACCAAGGAGTACTTTCAGCAACACAGGAGAA